GAGTGCGTTCTGGGAGGACGTCATATGACGTCCACTCAGAACTGGCCGGCCGCAGTGCAGCCGTCATTCGGCCATCTGCGGTCGGCAGTTAGTTAAGCAAATAACATATGCTGTAATGTTATTGTTTCAGTTGAATAAATCTATTTACATTTTTATTATTAAGGAAATTATTATTTTTCTCCTTCCTAAGTACAACAGAAAAGTTGTCCAAATATGAATGATTAACCTATTAAACTGGGGATAAAAAAACTAATATGAAAAGTTGTTATTCTAAAAATCTTCATCTACTTGCATATTAAAGTTATACCAGCAAGAATTAGTCTTTATGTAGAAAACTAGGATTTAAATCAAGCCTTACTGACTAGTGATTTAAATCGTGATTTAAATCAGTTTGATTTAAATCAAATCCACCCTGGGTTCTGTTCAACTAAATGCTGTAATCAGTAACTACAGTATATAGGATCACCAACCTGATCCTATATAGGATCACCAACCTGAGCTGTCCTATGACCTCTTGTGTATGTTTCTTCACCAACGCTTTCTTAGGTCATTCTCTGCTCATTATCTGTCTTTACTGTTCCATCTAAACAGCATATACACTGCAAACTGGTTAGCATTTCCGCCTTGGGTTGTTGGTTCGAATCCCATCCACGACACCACACTGCCTGGAGTTTGCATGTTCTCCCTGTGCCTGTGTGGGTTTTCTCCGGGTACTCCGGTTTTCTCCTACACTCCAAAGACATGCTGGTAGGTTAATTGGCTCCTGTCTAAATTGGCCCTAATATGTGTATGTATGAATGTGAGTTAGGGACCTTAGATTGTACACCCCTTGAGGGTTAGGGACTGATGTGAATGTACAATATATATGTAAAGCGCTGCGTAAATTGACAGCGCTATATAAGTACCTGAAAAACTAAATAAAAATGATGCAGGTCCTTTGTATCCATGGCAACACATTATATTCTGCTCATTATGTGATATTATTATTTATGTTTATGATTATGTAACGCATGCTGTTATACATTGTCATTATTAACTAATAAGAAAGAATAAGGTTAAATGCATAAAATACATAATGCTCAGATTATTATCATAACAGCTCAGTCACACAGATAATGAGTAGTAGAAATCATGGATGGAGCCGTTATCAGTGGTAGACATAGTCTAATGCACACACATCTGTGGCGGGCTATACATGGTCTAATCTTGCACTGATTGGATTGGCTATTTCATTGAATAGATGAGGCTTACACACACGGCCATTTAGGAACAGTATGTCCTCCCTGCGTTTTATTGCGCCCAGGAGGGACAGATGCAGCGTCCAGACCCACTGCCGGCAGCCTGTCTTATTCAGGGCGCATTCAAGGACAAAGGTCTGGAATGCTAGGTCCTCATATTACATAGGTAAATCTAAGATTGTATGATCAGATTGTACCAGATATGGTGATCCTTAGACCACATAGATTTATCTTGGGGTAATAATGAGCTTTTTAAGGACTGTCAGAATCCTTACCACCCTGTTCTTAGTGGGGCATCTTCCATTATGGCTATCCTGTAATTTGAGCCCAATTTAACACCAGTTACTGTTACAGTTGCAAGAAAAAGTATGTGAACCCCTTGGGATTACGTGGAGTTTTGCATGAATTGGGCATAAAATGTGCTCTGAACGTCATCTAAGTCACAACAATAGAAGAACACAGTCTGCTGAACATAATACTACACAAACATTAGATGTTGCCATGGTTTAATTGCACATAACATGTAAACATGTATGTGCTTACTCTCTTGCTAAGCCACAGCTTCTTGGCATGGTACTGTCTGGCCAGTATCTCTTTGTGATGGATGACACCCCTGGCAGTTATTGCAGGCTCATCTAAGTTGCAGTTTCTAAGTGACAACATGGCCTTCACAGCACCCTGCAAGGAGTGATGGGCCAATGATCCTAGTGGCCCCGTGGCTACTTTCCTGCAAGCTGGTACCAGGTCGTGGCCCTCAGGATTGAATCACCAGGTGGTTACAGGAGCAGGTTGGCTGAGTTGAGGATACAGCCAGGTACACAGGTAGAGGGTAGGCAGCGTCCAGACAGAGGTGGAGGCATGCAGCAGGGAAAAGAATAACAGGAACAGGCATAGTCTGCAACATGGGCTGGAGATACAAGTAGGGACGGGCAATCTGGGTCAACAATGGGCAATCAGAACAACAGCAACTTTAAAAGCAAAGAATGAAATTGCTTTATTTATTTATTTTTTAAAATTATACTTACCTAGGTGGATGCAGCATCAGTCTGATGTGGCATCTGTCCCCCACCAGCTCTAAGGGTGAGAACTCTCCGATCACATGACCGCTGAGTTCTCACAGCCGCTGTGAGCAGAGAGCAGTGACCGCTGTCTGCTCTACCCCCCCCCCCCCCCCCCCCCCCCCCCCCCCCCCCCCGGTCACTGGAGCGCTGGACTGTGAAGGGGGAGTAGCGGCTGGCTCGGGTTCTCAGCGGATCGCTGAGAGGCTGAGCCAGGTGCCGCTCCAGACTCTGGGGTGGATCCCGACTTTAAAGTCAGATCTTTCCCCAGCCTGGACTGGCTGAGTGACGTCAGCCGACAGCAGACTTCAGCCCACTGTCAGCTGAAAACGGGTCACAGGAGTGCAGAACGAACTGCACTCCTGTGATCCACAGTAGAAGTACAGCCAAAAGACTGTTAAGGACTTGTTTACATGCAGTGGGTTGCTTTTCAGAGGGCCCTTGACAGACAGGGAGGAGGCATTATGCCATCTCCTCACCTCCTGTTTTAACTCTTAAAAATCTCTGCATGCCACCGCTTGCAACTGGCTATAGCCAAAAGGTCACAATCTGACATGACATGCTGCAGATGGACAAGACAAACCATGGCTGTACAGATGCACTAGAGGTACTCTAACACTCTCTTTGCACACAGGATTATCTGTTTCATCACTCACTGACCAATATGTGCCAAGTCAATGCCACCTTGACCAGCTCTACTACCTCTGCCTGTAGGTCTAGTATTCTTCAGGGGTCTTGGTGATCAGTATATCATAGGAAGGCCACCATGTGGGCCGCCAAGTGCCAACTGTGGCAAACTTGCTCATCCTTGTTGGAGCGGAGTCCCCCTTTACACTCTGTTTTTCATGTTCTGTCTGTCTATTTGAGGTCTTCCTGGAATCCTCACATCCCCCCTGCATTCCTGTGAGGCAAAGGTTATGTTCTGGCAGATGGTGTGTGTGGGGGTCAACCAGGTTAAGACATCCTGCGTCCAGCAGTCATAAAGGTTGTAAAGTGGACTTCCTCCCCCACCTATATCAAGATAAGAGAACTGCACATTCCTCAGGTGAACTGTATGTTTCATATCATGGGGGATGAGTTGTAGTTAGTTTAGAGTTTCCCAATGACCACTCCCAAGTCAGAGCCCCCCTTCCTTCCCGAGAGGGACCTTTTAAGAGAGTGAAAAGTGAGTTAGAGAGACTCTGACACACACACACACACAGAGATCTCCGAGGTAACATCGTAACAGAGGAGATCAAAGAACCTTTCTGCTCTGCATCTTGAATTTGCTAAAACCAGGCAAGGCAAGTAACTTACCCTGTAATTTCCTCGCTATTCTATGTTAGCTGTGTCTTTATATACATATATATATATTTTTGTGATATCTCTTTGTACATATTTATTTTGCATCCAACGCTTTTAGTAATAAATCTTTCTTTCTGAAAGTGTTAAACTGTTTCTAAGCGCTTACTTGCAATTCACGAATCCCTGCCTTTGAAGAGACGCTACTGTGGTTATATTTTTGTATAGTAGGTCCGCGGGCCGTGCTATATAGATCAATATTTCAATCATTATAGTGTATATTTGGTAACGGGAGTTTTCCAGTCTCCGACAAAAGTGGTGGTGGCAGTAGAGGGTTAGTTGCGTAACTGACCCGACCCAGTAACAAGCGCATTCAGGCTGCAGGCACCGATTGTAGTCCATTAGCTGGGCAATCGCTGTGTAGGGTGCAGCTGGGTGGGGCCTTGTTACGCGCGTCACACCGCGGTTTTTGGATCGGCCGGCCCTTCGGTCACGAGTTTGGTGAGAAGGTCTGGGGTCTGACGCCGTGGGCGTGACGTATTACTGTTAGTCGCGGCTGTGCGGTTGTCGCCTGTTGGTGGCGGCGACCGCGGGTCGTGACACCAACCCCTTATGATTCTGATCTTTTGAAGCCATTTTTAAGCTAGAATAGTTTGCGCAGTCATTATTTTTAGCCCATAATCAACTAAGACAAGCTGTTGACAGCTATAAAGTTTTGACTACCAGAGGTGCCTGTGCCTACCTGCAAAAGCCAGTTCTTACTTAGGGACACACCACAACCCTGGACACTGAAACACACAACCATGTAAAATTGGAGCAAGCTACATTTTTGTGCAATTCAAGGCATTAGACACCACATATTTAATGTGTTATGGGGAGCCATTTGCAATGAATGGCAGTGCAGCACACCAACGCATGTATTGCACTAGCACACGGACATAAACAGGCGCTGAGTTCACCCACCACTCTGTTTGGGCTTCTAGGATCAAAGGAGATACCTGGTGCTTCTGGGTATGGGGAGCACCTGACGTACTCCACTTCTTAATATATGAAAATACTGGTGTTTGGTGATTGATTGGCTGCCCAGGCGCTGTCAAACAAGGGCAAGGAGCAAGTGCTCAGTCCTTTATGAACTGCCCTGTTGTTGCTTACACAGTCATAGCTCTCTTTGGTCCCAGTGATTGAACTAAATTGTGTGGGAGTAAAAGCAAAAGAATATGTGCAGTTGCAGGGGCTAGTAATAATATGAACCTATTGATTTGTCCTGCATGGAAAAAGCACAGGTCTACTTTAATCTCCACATGAAATATATACTGTCACAGACACACGCAACAGAAATCCTATCATTTTCATACTGTGCAATTGTGAAATCTTACTGCATATGTTTGACTTTTTTTTGTAATGACAGCCTTTTATTTCTTAAGGGTTAATGTTGACTTGGGTCCGAGGTGCTGTGCGATTGGTCCAGCAGAAACTTGTTTGTAATATACCGAGACGAGGCATCTCTCAGAATCAACCACTTAGGATGAGATTCGTTCAGTTCCAGACAGCCACCTCTGCAGGCCAGAGAATTGGTGTGGAGCTGGATGGGGAAAAGATCATTGACCTAAATTCATTTGATTCTTCATTACCTCCTACAATGAGAGAGTTTCTAGAAGCTGGAGACGTGGCCTTTCAGACAGCAAAGAGGTATAATCTCAAGTGTATGCATTCAGATGTTGATTTGGGCATTTAAAAGTGTGTTGGGTCAAGGTCACCGTACAGCTTTTTGTTTTATGTCTTTTGTCAATTACTTTCACTTCACAGAATGCAGATTCCTAACTCACCTGTATCATCTTATTGTAACAGTCAGTGGAACATGTGTGATTCTGTCACATGTAGGGGAAGACCCTGTTTTCAAATTGGATTTCAAATATAAAAAATAACTGTTACAGGACTCTAAAAGACTGTATGCAGAGTCAGCCCTGGTTCACACTGATACAGTGCAGAATTTGCAGCGTTTTCTGTGCGAAATCCGCACCGCATCAGAATCGCACATGCGTTCATGCAAACCGCTGTGGGTGTGTATGTTAAGTTAACAACACCCCGAAAACGGTCTGCAAAACTGAACTGAATCGGATCTCATAAGTGTGAATACCCATGCAATCTGATTCTAGTGCGGACCAAAAAATGGGTCCTGGGCATTTTTGGTGCGGGTGTGGTGTCATTAGAGCCATACAAAATTATTATTATACAGTGTTTATATAGCGCCAAAGGGTTTGCTCAGCACTGTACATTAAAGTGGGGGGACAGAACATGAGACAATACAGTAACAATACAATACACGAGGGGTTCGAGGGCCCTGCTCTTTCGAGCTTACAATCTAGGAAATGTATGGCTTTAATCATACCGCACACAATCACATGCAATATACTGCACCGCATGTATGTGAACACAGGCTCACTCTGATTGTATCAGAGTGGCACTCACACTTAGGCTTAAACTTGAAAAAAATGTGCCAGTATAATTGTGTGCAAAAAGTGTCCAAATAACTTCTAACCCAAAGTGAGCTAGAAGATGTATTTGCGGTGTTGGGGAGAGGGTTTGCAAAGTCTACAGCACATAAGAATAGAAAGAAAGATGAAGAAAGTTGAGGTAAGGTTGGGGGGCTCCAGAGCTTAGTAAATGAGGGGAAGTTCTGCTGACTTCCATCATCAAATCATATGCAAGCAAAAATTCTTTTTTTTTTTTTATTATTATTTTCCTTGCTTGTGATTAGGTATTTTTTGCAAAGTGAAACCTCACCTCATTTGATAAGCTTTAGAGCAAATTCCCTTGCAGACTGCAACTTCACTTGCAAAGTGCATAGCCTTTAGTGAGTCAACCCCAATGTTCTTCAGGCTAAATGACTGGCAGATGTAAAAAAATTTTATCTAGATACTGTATGTATTAATTCAAATATCAGTGCATGTATTTTACGTATATCTAGCAAGTGTACCTAAATATGTCTTAAAAGCAGCCTCTTGTAATGCACTCTGAGCCAAAAGGTGCTCTGCTGCTGTATATAGCACTGTCAGTCTAACTCTGCAAGCAAGCTTACAGGAAGGGAGAGAACCGTGATGACCTCATCAGTGTGCTGCTGCTCCTTCATTGTCCGATTACGGGCTGGATGTGATCATGTACCAGGTTGTATTTAATTGAAAAGTAGTGTGCCCAAGGTCCAGAAACTTGGCTGTTCTGTATTGCAGGGAGGCCTGCACCACAAGACTGGCTCAAAAGAATGACATTCTTTGGTAGTGACGAGATCACATGTATGTATTTCAATTGCTTATTTCCTATGTGCCTGGAGTTCAGCTTCTATTGTTTTGGTTACCTACATTTCCCTTGTTCCACAGAGCTTTGGACTCGGGTCAACACATTTTGAGCCGCGATGGGCTTACTATTTTGGCTCCGATCACCAACCCAGACAAAGTTGTTTGTGTCGGGATGAATTATTGGACCACTGCCTGGAGCAGAATGTTCCTGTTCCTAAAGAGCCCATCATCTTCAGCAAGTTCCCCAGCTCAATCATCGGCCCGTATGACTCTATTGTCCTTCCGCCTGAAAGCAAGGTAAATGTAGTGCAATGGAGAAGCTGTGATATGACAGTAAACTAAAGATTATGTATGCACAGATCTTAGATGTAGACATGTATCAGCATGTGTGTCAGAAGCCGGTTCTGGCTTCAAGGTTAAAGAAGTCTAGGTGTGGCAATTTTTACACCGTTATATATTGGTCCAGCTTGGACCAGTGTAAGTATGTATGTCTCTGTGGAAGCCAGAAATCACTGTAGTAGGTACCGCTGTTACAGTGATTGCCACTGGTTATAAAAACAATCCAATATATCCAACCCCAAATGAACAAATTATTAACATCCAACCAGAAAATTCACAAGAACTGCCTAGTTGGTGAGATATGGGTCACAGAGATATAGACCCTAATCTAAAACAATGGTCATACATGAAAGGAATGATTTTCTTTTCCCCTCAGAGACCCCGGTCTGTGGAGAGATTCCTGGTTTATCAGCAGAATTCTGGGAACACCCCTTGAACACGGAAATCACGACAGCTTATGTTCAGAGATGTTCAAAGTTTATTAGACATTAATAAGATTATATAGACTACAGATAATAAGGGAGGGGGGAGCGAGTTTCAAAACTGTAACTTGTAAATTTCCATCATGAGCTAACTACATAAAACATAACATATACATTTCTTGGTACAAATTGTTTTGGCTAACTTTCTGGAAAACAGCCAGACAAAGACATTGTCAGGGTCATGTTAGCTTCTGTTGATACATCCTTGAACAACCAAAAACAGTTCCATTAAACTTCTAATATCTCTACAAAAGGCTAACATAAATACTTAAAATGGCATTTTATAATACAAAATGGAAGTTATCTAGATCCTTTCAATACAGCAGCACAATATTCATATATATAACATGAATGATAATGAATCATAAATTAAGGTGCTATACCTGCTGTCAGTGATAGTAGTCAGTGATCGTGTCCTATTTGCTGACAGTAAAGATATGCATGAGCCTGTACTACAGGAGAGGAGTGGTGCAACCTCAGGGTCAGCAATAAAGCCAACAATTACCCCTGTTCTGTAGACAGGATTGGAAGAGAAAAGAAACCTCTCCAAAAGGAGAGACAGTTGGCCATGGACATTTCCCCTGATTCCTGTTTCAGTAACAACTCAAAATTTTGGATTTGCCCTCACTTTTAGTCCCAGTGATGGTGGTTACCAGGACCAATAGACAGACAGCATTAAAAACCTGACAGAGGGTTCTATTTCCTTACCACTCTATCCAAAAACATGATTTGACTTTAGATACATTTTAAAATACTGTATACATAATGCTTTAATCAAACAACACTTTGCTCTTATATTCATTAAAATCAGTTTTATTAAAAGAAAAATGTTGATTTTTTTTTTTCATAAATACCTAGATAGATCTGGCACAGCTTTTCTAGGTGACTTACTTTGTTACATTTTCACTGTATTAGTGGAAAATCAAGGAGGATTAGGAAGAAAAATGTACTTTGTCACTCCACACATACACTATATTGCCAAAAGTATTGGGACACCCCTCCAAATAATTAGATTCAGGTGTTCCAATCACCTCCATGGCCACAGGTGTATATAATCAAGCACCTAGGCATGCAGACTGCTTCTAAAAACATTTGTGAAAGAATGGGTCGCTCTCAGGAGCTCAGTGAATTCAGGCGTGGTACTACGATAAGTTGCCATGTGTGCAATAAGTCCATCTATGAAATTTTTCTTGCTACTAAATATTCCACGGTCAACTGTTAGTGGTATTATAACAAAGTGGAAGCAACTGGGAACAACAGCAACTCAGCCACCAACTGGTAGGCCACGTAAAATGACCGAGCGGGGTCAGCGCATGCTGAAGCATACAGTGCGCAGAAGTCACCAACTGTCTGCAGAATCAATAGCTAAAGACTTCCAAACTTCATGTGGCCTTTAGATTAGCAAAACAACAGTGTATAGAGAGCTTCATGGAATGGGTTTCCATGGCCAAGCAGCTGCATCCAAGCCTTACATCACCAAATGCAATGCAAAGCGTTGGATGCAGTGGTGTAAAGCTTGCCGCCACTGGACTCTAGAGCAGTGGAGACATGTTCTCTGGAGTGATGAATCACACTTCTCTGTTTGGCAAGCCAATGGGCGTGCCTGGGTTTGGCGGTTGCCAGGAGAACGGTACTTGCCTGAGTGCATTGTGCCAAGTGTGAATTTTGGTGGAGGGGGGATTATGTTTGTGGGCTGTTTTTCAGGGGTTGGGCTTGGCCCCCTTAGTTCCAGTAAAGGGAACTCTTAAGGCATCAGCATGCCAAGACATTTTGGACAATTTCATACTCCCAACTTTGTGGGAACAGTTTGGGGATGGCCCCTTCCTGTTCCAACATGACTGCGCACCAGTGCACAAAGTAAGGTCCATAAAGACATGGATGAGTGAGTTTGGGATGGAGGAACTTGACTGGCCTGCACAGAGTCCTGACCTCAACCCCATAGAACACCTTTGGGATTAATTAGAGTGAATACTGCAAGCCAAACCTTCTCATCAGAAATCAGGGCCTGACCTCACAAATGCTCTTCTGGAAGAATGGTCTAACATTCCCATAGACACACTCCTAAACCTTGTGGAGAGCCTTCCCAGAAGAGTTGAAGCTGTTATAGCTACAAAGGGTGGGCCAACTCAATATTAAACCCTACGGTCTAAGACTGGGATTCTATTAATATTCATGTGCGTGTAAAGGCAGACCGACCAATACTTTTGGCAATATAGTGTATATTTAGTGCAATCATGGATGTAAAGCGTTTTTTTTTTTGTACTTCAAAGCTGAGGTTGGGGACCTTTGTATTGTGTTGTAGCAGTGTTACCTACTAATACTACACATTTCCACCACTAGATGGCGATGATATATTTTATATTAGTGTCTTCTCATCCAGTGTTGTCTTTTCTGAACTTCCTTTTTACATTTTTGGCATTACAGTTTTTTGTTTTCTAATGCAAATAATGAAATGTAAGCCCAGACTTTTATGTTTATAAATGTGTTTTTGTATTTTCAGCTTCATTTGTTCATGTTTTAAGTTGCCCACTAAAGGATAAGTTCACCTTTTGCTAAAAAAATAATAAATGCACATTTTTCTGAAGGTAAAAAAAAAAAATGTGAATTTATTATCCTTTGCTGCTGGAGCCTGTAAAGCATTGCACCAGCCATTAGTAGATCGCTGGTGCCATGCAAGCCTCCTGCAGATCTGCCAAGGATGTACAGACAAGCAGATATACTGACAAGATTCTATGAACTACCATGGTGCTCCACAGCACCATGGTAGTTCAATGAGAACCTAGCGGATGTTGGGACTTGTAGTTTCTCATTCACAGAGGAGTGATGCTGCCGGGCAGCAGAGCCCCGCATGGCCACGTTTTTTTTTTTTCAATTTGACAGCTAGCGGGAGGGGGAGAAGATCCCCAGCTAGCTGTCAAAGCAGGAGATCGACAGGGAGCGGGGGCTGGTGCTTTTTTTATAACATGTTACACCCTGAATATGGATGTAACATGTTATGAAATTTGACTTATCCTTTAACCACTTGGCAACTGCGCTACAGCCGAATGACAGTTCCCGGAGTGCGTCATATGATGTCCTTCCAGAACACGCCCTCTTGCACGCCCCCAACGGCACGCACCCGGCGATCTTCATGATCGCGGTGTCCTACAGACACAGCTGATCACGTGATGTGGTAAAAGGCCAATCACAGCTGCTTTTTACCATGTTATCAGCTGTGTCCAATGACACAGCAAATCACTGGCTAAATACAGTTGTCGGTTATCGGCTGCACTTTCCTCATGCTGTCACAGCTTAAGGAAAGTACTGCCGATAACCGGCAATTGTCAGAGAACAGATAGACACTGATCATTAGGGCACTGAAGATCAGTGCCATCCACCTGTACCCACCAGTGCCACCCAACAGTGCTGCCCAGCAGTACCCATCAGTGCTGCTCTTCTGTGCTGCCTATCAGTGCCCATCAGTGCTGCCTATCAGTGCAGCCTCATCAATGCACATCAGTGAAGTAGAAAAATTACCTCTTTGCAAAATTTTATAATAGAAACAATAGACTTTTTTTTTTGCTCTTTTTTTTTGTTTATAGCGCAGAAAAATAAAACACCAGCGGCGATTAAATACCACAAAAAGAAAGCTCTATTTGTGAGAAAAAAAGATACAATTTTTGTATGGGTACAATGTTGCATGACTGCGCAATTGTCATTCAAATTGCGACAGAGCTGCAAATTGGCCTGGGCAGGAAGAGGGTATTAGTGTCCAGTAGGCAAGCGGTTAAAGGTTTTTGCACAAGACATTGATTCCATGTATTGTAAAATCATTTACTATTCTGTTTGCAGGAAGTGGACTGGGAGGTTGAATTAGCCTTCGTTATTGGAAAAAGGGGGAAAAACATTAAGGTAAGAGACTCAAAACAATGATCATGATTCAGATGCGGTTTTCTAATTTGCTGCAGTTAATAGAAATTCACATCCTGAGCTTTGGGCTTGAAGGCTACAATCAACAAAAGCATTGTGCTATGCCATGTAAATCCAGCACAAGCTGCTGTTTGTGTTGCAGACAAAATGTCATTTTGACTCCAGCTGAGGCTGCTTCCTGCTGCTGGATTCACAGGTATGCTGACAGCCACTCAGCTTGTACAAAGCAATGACAGGCTGACAACATGCGAAAATCATTCCCTAACCGCAGCTAATCGATCCATGTGCAGTTACGGAATGATGATCGCAAGCTGTTTGCATCCAGGAGCGATCATCTGTCCCTAGACACAGGTAATCACTTCATTTACAATTACATCCGATCAGCAGTGGACAGCTGTGCCCACTGCTGTCGCCAACCATATGATTCCTGCTAAGAAAATCTGCTAAATTCTTTCCTGAGCTTAAATTAAAATCTCTTGTGAATGAGGCCTAAAAGAAGATGATGATGCTATGCCGTGTAGTGTATATCATGCTGTCATGATTATTACTTGTTCTTTAAAGCCAACAAAGTGTACAGCCTTTGTAAATGCACCACATGGATCTGTTTGGCTAGATCCATGTGATGGCGATGTTCTGTGTAAAGTAATTCCAGCACGTGCAGATGGATATTATCTTGACAGGCAGAAATTGATATTAGCCACTATTTATGCCCCTTTGAATGTATTTCTGTTTAACAATTAGGATTTTGCTGCTAATCTTCCATCAAAGTGTTTTCTTCTGCTTTTAAAGGAAAAGTGAACGTTTACAGAAAAGTGTAATCATTCTTCCTAGCCCAACCTGCCATGCTGCAGGTGCATACTTACCATAATCTCAGATCTGTGACCTATCATGATGCTGACAGCCCATTGCTTCCTCTTGATGACCACGCTGTGCAGCTGATCTCATAGCTTCTGTGGGACTGTGTCCTGAGGTGGGGCAACAGTTCCATAGATGTCTATGAGGATTGAATACACAAGCTCGTCTAGTGGGAAGATTTTTCTAGGGACTTTTAACATTGCAGTAAAGACCAAAAAAACAGAGTGCACCTACCTTGCACATTAACTTAGTAATCAATTAATAGATTTATTGATATAGGAAATATACTCACAAGAGTAACAATCTAAAATCCCCAAAACGAGTCCTTGGATTGGGAGACACGTGCGAATCCCATCAGGAGGGGAGACTCTCAGGATGAAGCTGACGCGTTTCGAAGGGGGGGGTCCCTTCTTCATCAGAGATATTTGTGTCTACTTTTAACATTGCAGCAGGCTTTGAAAGAAATGATGCATTGGAAAGGGGGGAGTTAATAACTTTAGATCAGGTGGGCTAGGCTTAAAGGATATGTGCATTTCCTATGGAAATCCTTTTGGATCCATTTATACTTGTGTGTTTTCAGTAACGCTCTGGCATACAGTATGTGCACTACAGTGCGCTGTTACTCATCAAGAACGGTAGTACCCCAATGTACACTTACACTGATGAAACATATTTACATACTCTACGCATTGTGGTGTACTGCTTGGTGCAATAATGCACCTGCGCTATTTTTGACAAAGGAGCATTGTGAGCCCTTTTAAAATTAATAGGCTGGCTTAACATAGCCTACCTCCATGCACAAAAATACATTTTTCTATTATTATTTCATTATTTATTTCAGGTACTTACATAGTGCCATCAATTTATGCAGCGCTTTGCATATACATTGTACATTCACATCAATCCTTAACCCTCAAGGGGCGTACAATCTAAGGTCCCTAACTTACATTCATACACATACTAGGGCCAATTTAGACAGGATCCAATTAACCTATCAGTATGTCTTTGGAGTGTGGGAGGAAATCAGAGTACCCGGAGGAAACCCACATAGGCACAGGGAGAACATGCAAACTCTAGGCAGGTGGTCGAACCAACCACCCTAGTACTGCCAGGCAGAAGTGCTAACCATTTAGCCACCATGCTGCCCATAGATTAGATTATTATTATTCAGGATTTATATAGCGCCAAAAGTTTGCGCAGCACTTTACAAAATGAACGTAGACATTACAGTTACAATACAATTTGGTACAAGAGGAAACAGAGGGCCCTGCTTGTTAGCTTACATCCTTGGAGCTTACATCCTTGGAGATTGTGTGCTTTCTTGAGCAAGGCCCTCCTAAGGCTGGCCATACATTATACAATTGTCTTGAGATTTTTGGTTTAGATTTACCAAAAACCATATAATATGAGGGCAAACTTAAAAAACACTTTCAATTGTATCCAGTTAGGTAGGCTCTTGCACTGCATAGTTGAAGGTAAATCTAGGAAATTGTATAGTGTATGGCCAGCCTTTCTCTCTAGTATTGAATTGTACTGTAATGGTACTTTCTCGCTTTATTTTGTACAGTGCTATGCAAACTGTTGGTGCTATATAAATCCTTTATAATAATAATTTGTTAATCTGTGTAGGTATGCATAGGTGTAAATGGGCCCTTAAGGCCTACATGGCTATGTGCTGGGGGTAAGTAGTCACTTCCACAAAGACTTTTATTAGTTGTGTTGCACAGCAAGTATGTAATAATGAGACAAAAGCAAAACTGTCCTTCTAATGACGCGAAGATGTACTGTATGGCTACTGTCATCCGTCCATATCCTGTCCACTGCTACATTTACAGTGTTTACACAGGAGGAAGATGCAATGAAGCATGTTGCCGGGTTTACTGTTGCTCATGACGTCAGTGCCCGTGACTGGCAGATGAAGAAGAATGGCAAGCAGTGGCTGCTGAGTAAAACATTTGACACATTCTGTCCACTTGGGCCAGCACTGGTTAGTAAAGACTCCATTTCAGGTACTGCAGTAAATATCTTAAGCTCTCTTTATGTGTTTGTACGTATGTCTGTGTCGGAATACACATTGTGGTCACATTTTGCCTTTAAGGAGATTCAGAAAAGAAATAAAGTATAAGAAAAGAGAGGGGGAACCTTTATTGGAGGGGGGTTTTAAGAGAAGCTATAGTTTTTATTTGTGTGTCACCCCTTTTGGATTTTGTACAATAAACTGTGCTGTATTGAGTGAAATGTGGCCTCTGGTGGATTTTATCATTTTGGATATAAATATATATATATATATATATATGATCTCATAGCTTGTAGAGAGTGCGATTTAGGTCGGTATTGTAGATATTTATTTGTAAAAAAAAGATTTAAGAGATTTAGGCAATCTGAGGAGGAGCAGGCATCCACCAATAGTGCTGTAAATCTTGGTGCAGTGGCAAGCACAAGCAGCGCAGCATTCCTAGATGATGGGCCAGGTACTAGTAGCAGGGTGTCATGTCCACAACAACAAGGTAGGGCCCATACTAATTTGCCAGAACTTACAATCTCCCCTTACAACAAATTTGTTTTTCATTTAGTTTTTGATGATGATTTGTTGAATTTCATTGTGGAGCGATGGTATCTCTAAGCCAACCAACACATTGCCAACAATCCCAATGAATCGTATGCCCGCCTATTTGTGTGAAAAGTTGTGACCGTGGAGGAATTTAAAGTTTTTCTTGCTCTTGCATTAAGCATGGGACTGACAAAATTCTTCTTGTATGCCCAGAAGGTATGAGATGATAATGAGGTTTTTACACTTCAACGATAATACCCAGTGCCCTTCTCGAAATCATCAGAAAAGGGTTACCATCTGTACTGCGATAATTTCTACACAAGTCTTCCACTATTACGCCATCTATATCTCAGGCAAACTGTGCCCTGTGGGACAGTGGAGGCCAACTGCAAGGGCTTCCCGCAAAGTTTGGTCTTCACAAAACTCAAAAGGGGGGGAGTCAGCCAGTTTGCAAAATGAAGAAATACTAGCCCTTAAGTGGAAAGATAAAGAGATGTCTATATCCTTTCCTCAGTCAATGAAGACCCCTTGATGGAACTTCAAACAAGACAATGTCCCGTCCAAAAACCCAAGTGCATACACAACTATAACCAGTTCATGGGGGGTTGGATATGAACAACAAAATGTTACAGCTCTCTTGTTACTACTCTACTAGTATAAAAAGGTATCCATCTACCTATTTCAGTTAGTCCTGTACAATTTTTGTCATCTTTTGTAAGTACACACAAAGATTCCTATCCTAATTGAAATACCATTGTTACAGCCCATCTCTATCTGGATGGCCATGTCCCTGAACAAATTCGCTCTGATTCAGTGGCCAGACATCATGAAAGGCATTTGCCTGATATCCTCCTTCCTACCCAAACAGACCGCCAGCCCACCTAAAATGTTGCGTATGTTCCAGTAGCAGAATTCGCCATGACACCTGATACTACTGCCCCCAATGTCCCTCTTAGCCAGATCTTTGTATTGGAGAACGCTTCAAGATCTATCATGCATCACTACAGAGAAGATATTTTTCCAGTGTCCTCTATCTGCTGTTTCCCTGTATCACCATGCCTCTGCCTGCCGACTGAACTGACCCTGGACTGTTTAATCGATGATGCCTCTGCTTGCCAACTGAACTATGAACCACATTTCTGTCTTCCACATGAACTGACCTTGGCCTGTTAATCGACCGTGTTTTTTTGCCTGCCGTGAAAATTAATCCATAGTGTTTCCTGTCACCGAATGAGTGTACCATACACTCACCTTCTCCCTTGACCTATAGGGTAGGTCACAAACACTTAAGCGCAATAATCGACTTCTGCTGGTCCACTGCTGGCCTCTAGTGGGAATTTCCTTGATCCTGGCCCTTTAAAAGAATGGACTCCAGGATTCCCATTGGGATGGTGTATGATCACAAGAGGAAGAGTAGGGTGAAGAGGGCCTGTGACGTCACGCGACCAGACTGCAGACACCTTCCAGCACACTCAGCTCTCTTCCTCTTGCCTTCTTCTCCACCAATAGCAGCTCTTCTCAAAGTGCATTTGGCCTATTATAATTTGTAGGTCAAACTTCAAGGCAAGCAGGGAGTGGGTCTACAATCCAAGCACGGTTTTGGAATCTTTGGATGATAGCATGACATTAGGACTCTATATATTTGGATTGGACTGATACAACTTCTCATTTGAATTTTTTTGTGGACTGATACTATTGTTTGTTTTTAAGGTTTATGTTTCACATTTGAGGAGTTAGCAAATCACAATTTTTTGTCTAATTATTTAATTTAAGTGAGAGTACACTTGACCAGTGAGTGCAGCAATCTCCTCCTTCCTTCATTATACCTAGGGTGTAGCAGCGCACAAGCCCATATTATTTGAAAACTTTTTGTTTTGTTTGACAGTCCCATGCCTGTTAGCCTAGAAAAGGGCAATTATGCCTCTTTCACAGGGGTGGTCCGATCAGGTCCATCTGTCAGTTTTTCAGGAGGTCTGTGTATCCCTATGGACCAGCAGGTGTAAACAGACTTGTGTCTGTTTACAGTCGACTACCTCCAATCAACCCAGGCCTCTAAAAGCAAACTGGAGGGGGTTCATCCCTCTCCATCTAGGTGGATCAGAGGGCAGTCAGGTGTAAACCAACAGCCGGTCTGTTTACACCCAGCCACCCATAGAGCAGAGCGGACTCTGTCCGTGTCCTCTCTGCATAAATTGAGTAAACATGGACCTGTCATCCACCCGCTCAGCTCAGCAGGGGATCAGCGGACAGGTCCCCTGCTAACCAAATTGGAATCTGCCTGTGTGACGGTGCCTTACTGTTTTTTCAACATTTGGCTTTCATTGACTTCAATGACGTTTAGATTTGGCACCCTTTAGAACTTTTGTCATGTTCACCAAACTCTGTTCAAATCAATCCCAGATATATTCGGCTCATTGCTAAAAGTTCAGTTGTGCTACAGGGCATCCAATGCACATTAAAAGGAAACCTCAATTTGATTAGGGCTTTTCAATGTAGTAACATGCCACCATATCCCGCAGCCCTGTGTTGCTGTTGAAGTAGCAGACTGAAGACTGACCATAGAAATACAATGGTACCCCTCCAGGGACTCTTCAGCAGTTATCCTGCAGGTGCATACCTCTTCCTTGGCAAGGCAGGACCTACAGGGGGACTTTCCTTATTACTACAGTATATGGGAAAATGTCTGGCAGGACATGAAAGTTGTTCTGGAAACCTCATTTACAGAAAATGTTTGCTAGATACACGCAGCACGATATTCCTCTCAAGGTTTTATAGTTATGCTTTTTTAAAAAGGACACATTTCATAGTGGCTTCTCTGCTTATATCTTTCTTCCCACCTGCCATGCTTGGTTTACTTTCAGTAAGAGTTGAATATTGTGTGCTGTGGCTTTTTGCTTTCTTATTATGCACTACTGTTATGTCATTCCATGTGCAGATTTGTGGGTGCTCCCCCTAGTGGTCGTCCCTACATCTGACAAAGCAGTCAGCATCCATGATGGCTGACAGCTGAAGAGTTTTTGATTTTTTTTTTTTTTTTGTTCCCACTTTGAGACTGTTAAGATTATCCATTTCATAAAATGTAATGTGCAATTTATAAACGCAATAGACATTTATGAGAAAATTGCTGCAATCAACACAAATTGTATCTGACACCTACTGTATGCCACCATCAATCATACAGCTTGCAATATGGGTCTAGTTGTAGAAAAAAAACAACAAAACAGCAAAGCAAGTAAGTATCTGTCCAACCTACAGCAAACATTTATACACTCTGTTCCAAATTATTATGCAAATGATGTTTTTCTCATTTACATAAATAATTGATGTAAATAACAGTCAGCATAATTCTCATGTTATCAACTATTAAGAGTACAATTCACATTTTATTGAACAAACCTCCTAATAACAGTATTTTTTTTAAACATAAAAAAACTTCCAATGCACTGTTCCAAATTATTATGCACAGTAAGTTTCAAAACACTTTATAGGTTGTAAAGAACTGAAAATTGTCATTTGTTGTGTTTGCAGCATATTTACTGAAATCAAAAGCTATTTCAATCAAACTTTTAACAACATTTTAACTTTTTAAACATTTTAACAGGTCACGTTACATTGTCACATAGGACCCCTTATATGATAGCAGCTTCGACATGTCTTGCATCCATTGAACTTGGGAGTTTTTGGACAGTTTCTGCTTGAATTTGTTTTCAAGAATAGCCTTCCAGAGCTGCTGTTTGGATGTAAACTTCCTCCCACCCTCATAGATCTTTTGCTTGAGGATCTCATGTATTTTTCTGCCCAATGCAGCCATTTCTGCTTGTGAGCATTGGTTATTGGTGGCCGAATAGAAGGTTTATGCACAGTTGCAAGACTCTGGAGGACTCTACACCTTGATGTCCGTGGGACTCCAGAGGCACCAGCTGCTTCAAATATCTGTTTGCTGCTATGTAATGGTATTTTAGCAGCTGCTCTCTTGATCCGATGCATGGATCTGGCAGAAATCTTCCTCAATGTGCCTTTATCTGCACGAACCCGTCTGTGCTCTGAATTAGCCACAAATCTCTTAATAGTGCGATGATCACGCTTAAGTTTACGTGAAATATCTAATGTTTTCATACCTCGTCCAAGGCATTGAACTATTTCACTCTTTTCAGCAGCAGAGAGATCCTTTTTCTTCCCCATATTACTTGAAAATGGTGCTCTTCTTAATAATGTGGAACACCCTCCTTTAGTAGTTTTTCCTTAAATTTTGTTCACCTGCCAATCTAATTATCTCCGAGATTGTTTTCAGTGATAAAAAGAGCCCTGAGACACAATGCCATCCATGAGTTAAACTGAAAAACAAAATATTTAATCTTTGTGACACTTAAATAGAATTTGCATAATAATTTGGAACAGGGGTGTATTGTAGTGTGTAGTAACAGATTCCAGGATGGTCAATGTCTACTTATTTTTCTACACATCTGACATAAAAAGTGTTCTTTAAGATTAACATCAGCAATGCTATGATTAATATCTTTGTAATTTTAGTATACATCCTGATTCGCCAAGTTTTCCTTTTTCCCCAGACCCTCATGGACTTGGAATTCGCTGTCGAGTGAATGGGAACCTCGTCCAGGACAGTAACACAAACCAGATGGTCTTCAAGACACAGAGTCTCATAGCCTGGGTCTCCAAGTAAGTGTGTACTCACAGACTGTTTAGAAATAAAAATCAAATACAGCCCCAATTCCAAAAAAAAGTTGTGATGCTGTGTAAAATCTTCATAAAAACAGAATGCAATGATTTGCAAATATCATAAACTCATATTTTATTCACAATAGAAAATATAACACATTTTTAAACTGAGAAAATGTACAATTTTAAGAAAAAAAAGTAATTTTGAAGATGATGGCAGTAATATCTCCAGATTTTCTCAATCTTTTTATATTCTGTACTGTAGATGAAGATAAATTTAAAGACTTTACATTGTGGAACATTATTCTGAAATTGTTCAACAATGTGTAGATGCAACATTTTACAGATTGGCGACCCTCTGTCTATCTTTACTTCTAAGACACTCTGACTATACAAAGATGCTCTTTGTATACAAAATCATGTTATTGACCTGTTGCTAATGAACATAATTAGTTGCAAATGTTCTTCCAGCTCTTCTGTGTTAGTACTACTTACTTGGCCAGCTTTTTTGAGACTTGTTGCTGCCATTGTTTTCAAAATTACGTTATCTTTTTCTTAAAATGGTACATTTTCTTAGTTTAAGGATACGTTCACCTTTCGTAATGTGCTACACCTATATTCAGGACGTAACATGTTACGAATGGAAGTCTCGATGCCCTCATGAAGGAGATTGCACAGTGCCAGCAGAACTTGGAAAAATTCCTCAATCAACCTGACTTTCGGACTAGACAAAATAAAATGACAATCTTTGAATACTCTAGAAGAGGAAATAATGTACACCAAACAGACCAAATTTCTCAGAGATAAGTCAGATTATGAGGAAGGCACTGTCAATAAATGGGTGACACTGGGACCTCAGAATAGATCCAGTTTTTCAGGAAAATCCACACATTACAAGTTGCACATCGATACACTACTCATTATAATGAATTTGATTTTCAAGACTTTCTTCTTATACACGATATGTGTTCTTTAGATGAACAAGGTTTTCATGGATTTTGGTCTCTGATTGGATAAATATGCCAGAATGCTTAAACATCACCTCAATGGTCTTATTTCTATCCTATACAGTCTAGAGGATTAAATTTGGATCTTTGTTGAACAAGATCTGGTTTGGTTGCCCTAGCAAGGGCAGTTGAAGATTCTCTACAATGTCATATATTGAATTTAAATAAACAGGAAATGCACTGTAACACACTGGACAATGCAATTTACTGTACACTGTAATGACTTGACACTGCGATGCACTGTACACTGTAATGCATTAGACACCAAAATGCACTGTACACTAACACACTGGACACTGCAATGCGCTGTACTCTGATACACTGGACACCGCAATGCACTGGACACTGGACACTGCAATGCACTGTACACTGGACACTGCAATGCACTGTACACTGGACACCACAATGCACTGTACTCTGGACATCGCAATGCACTGTACCTGGTGCTTGGTGTGCTCTCCTCTCCTGTTGCTTCTCTGGCTGCAGCAGGTGAAATCCAGGGCTTCCAGGCTGTCGCTCACTGGGTCCTCGTGGCCGAGGACCCAGCAAGCGGCCTAGCTATTTGCCAGCCGCTGCCGTTTTTTTTTTTTTTTTTTTCCGGCTGGCCCAGCGGGTCGGATAAATAGCTTTGGTGGGCTGTGTCCGGCCTGCGGGCCATAGTTTGAGGACCCCTGCATTAGAGCAACCAATATCGAGAGATTGTATGTATAGTTTCTCGATATTTACCACTGCTCCAAAGGGATCCAGATTACAAGAACATTCTGCTGTGTAAAGTGCAGTTCGATGCCAGGAGAGCCAAAACAATTGGCAACATGATCTCTCCCAGTCCGTTTCCATACAAATCACCCAAAACATACCTGGTTATGTACCACGGGTTTTTTCAAATGTAATGCAGCTCACTGCTCCAGCTGTTGGTTAGCTGGGACCTCCCATGTCATAACATCGCGCACCAATGGCAAAACTATAATATTAAACAGCTTACTAATTGTCAAATTCAATACATTATCACTTGCCTTAAGTTAGATTTACAATTTATTTATTTCAGGTACTTATATAGCACTGTCAGTTTATGCAGCGCTTTACATATATATTATACATTCACATCAGTCCCTAACCCTCAAGGGGTGTACAATCTAAGGTCTTTAACTCACATTCATACATACACATACTAGGGCCATACAATATGTGGACTGCACTACAAGATGTCTGTGTGACAGGATGCGAGATAATCTTTCAAACATCAGGACCAGCAAGGAAACCAACAATGTCGAGGCACTTTGGATTATACCATGACTCTGACATCAGCTCTCTCAGGGTCCAAGTGATAGAACGTATAGACCCTCCCAAGAAAGGTGGCAACTGTTTCTCTTTTCTCTGTAAGGGAGGTTTCCTGGATCTTCAAGCTTGAGACACGGATACCAAAAGGGTTAAACTTTGAATGGGATGTCACTCGTTATTACGATTGAATAACATTCAATTTTCCCTACTCTACTGTACTATGGGCTTTTTGCTCTTTTTTTTGCTTTTTTTGTGCTCTTTGCTGTTTTCCATAGTCTTTAATTCAAGAGCTTCTAAGAGCCTTCAATTGATTTTTTAGGGCTTCCGTTGGTCTGTTGTTTTTTTCCTAGTCCTACATGATGTCCCGGATCAGGACAATACGATATAGACTTCATATATATATATATATATATATATATTCCTTTATGTCATAGATTTGTTTTTTATCCTTATTCTTTATTCAAATTTTTTTTACTTTTTATTTCTTATTTTTCACTTTCTTTTTTACACATACACTCCATGCTCCCACACTTATTTCCGTCTTCCATTTTTCATATCTCATTCACTTCACACACTCACATATTTACATACATTTTCTTTTTTTAACACATGCATTTCACATTTTTTCTATATTTTTTTCTCCCTTCCTGTTGTTTAACCCCTTAGCGTCGGCGCCTGCAGGCCCTTTAAGGGTTTCAGAAGCTGGGAGGCAGGGCGGGGTTTTAGGGTCATGTGACCACCGTGATTGCTGTCACATGATCGGGAACAGTCCCGATCGAAAGAGATCTGGACCTTTCCGTGAGTACCGGACATGTGTGCTGGGAGCGTGCAAGATGTGCGCTCTCAGCACATATGTTTTTTTGTTGTACACAAATGTGCGGCCGCTCAGCGTCAAGGCCCAGATGCCAGAAGGCCGCACATTTGCATGCGGCCGGCGCATGTGCTAGTGTGCACTGCATACTAGCACATTATGGCAGACTTAAAAATGAAGCCCTCCAGCGGTGTGCCGACAGGGCTTCAATTCTCTCCTGGTCTTCCATTTGGGTTCACAGGCTCCAGCAAATTTGAATGGCTGATGATATCACTACTGCGCATGTGCACAGGAGCCACAGCACTCTGAATTGACAGCATACTCACTGTGCTGTCAATTCGGGGCTCAGTGCGAATGCACAGGTGATGTCACCAGCTGCTTCAAGTGTGAACATCTAAACACCACATGTTTAGGAGATATTCACTGTACCCACAGGTATGACTTATTAAATGTGGGTACAAGTTCAAAAGCAGACTTTACTACTGCTTTAAGGCAGAAGTGCAGGCAGTGTAAAGAATAGTGTACACAATACACTGGCATTTAAGGTTAGTTTACCTTGCATTCCACATAACCAAAACGATTTCATAAATGGACACTATACACATTTTCCATGTTCGCCTGCCTAAAGCTGGCCATAATCACTAGAAGCCAGAGAATATATAATCCGACCAACTGCCAGGTCTCTTTCCCAGCCAGTGCTTCCATATATATATGTATGGTCAAATGGGATGGCCTTTTGTGTTTAGGCCTGTGGAGAGATGTGGATGCTGTGGCAGCTTAGTAGGGAAAAGGCAAAAGCCATTGCACAAGGTTCTAACCTGTCATTGAACTATGCCTTCATAAAGGTTCCATATGGCACTGTCTGCAGATGCATCATAGACCGTATATTGTCATGTAAGTGAATAGACTGCCTATGAGCAGTAAAAGCCTACAGGAACCACAAGAACAACAATTCACGTCTGATTAGTCATCCTGTTCTAGTGAAGCCCAGAAAACAATCCATGATTAACTGCTATAGACAGTAAGATTTACTTTCAGAGCCTTCTGATAAGAGACCCATAGATTCAACCTTGTCATGTGTGCAGCTATCCAGTATATACTGAGGACTGGAACAAAGCTATAACTTCTGCTTTCATACGGTGTCCTGTTTTGGCATGTATTGTAGCTAAACTAAGAAATAACCTTTATGTACTATACATTAATAGTACATTGTCTGTACAATGCATTCTGGGTCCAGGAAAACACTGGATTGTATAAGATCAAGAATCCTCATTTTTCTCATTGTAATAGTGTAACATATGTATGTTATTAGCTTATTTAAAATATTCTTTACATAGTGAAGGATGTACATATTTCCCAGGCAGCCATTCCCACGCACAGTCAAAATATCCAGTGTATCTCTGCAGTAGGGACATGCTGAAGACTATGTACTGGATAACGTCCTCTGCAGTTATGGTAAACTACTTCAACAAGACACTCTGCAATATTGCATGAAAGATTCCTTCCCTACCCTCCACCCTTAAATGCCCAAAGGGCTGTGTTAAGATACACTACTTAGGGCAAACTGGTGTATAAAATTGAATTTTTGTACTATCTGTAAATTTCTTGAGTCCAATGAGGGACACAGGAGCCTTCATGTTTGCTGTAACTATGTCATCGTTCATTAAACCTTTTGGGCCCATATTGGTGATCCTCAGTGTGCTGGTGATATTCTCCCTTGCTGATTCTGTTCGGGTCCAGCGGACGGTCGCTGCAGCACCCACTTATACACACAGCCATTTTTAACGCAGGAACGTGTGCGTTTGGATTGTACACTTGCATTCATTTTTATACTGCCACCTACAGGAGAATTAGACAACTGGCCTACTACTAGCATGCCTTACTTTTGGATAAGCAGTACGGAAAACATAATCATAAACACGTGTGGGACCTGTGTCCCTCAGTGGATTACAAGAAATCCATATATCCATTTATAGCGCATACAATAATCCTACTTTTGCACTCACCCATGACGACACAGAAAGACAAACTTATTGGATGTCCAGAAGTGGTCCAAATAAGGGGTGAACAGCAAAGCAATGCCAACATGCAAAAAAAACACAAAACATAATTGGCAACTGCCTGCAGCTCAACCAGCCCCTAAAGGACCTAACATCTGAGCCTAGCATCAGAGGAGGTCTGAACATTTGTTTTGGAGAAGATGTAAAAAGACCAGATGGCAGGCTTGCAATCTGGTAAACAGTAGCCTGATGCCAAAAAGCCCCAGAGGCACTTACAGACCTAGCAGAATGCAGCTGGACACCTGAAAGGGAAGAACTACCATCTTGAGATCATTGGCCTGAATAATGGTCTGTTTAAGCCACCTATAGATTGTCAAACTATGGCTGATGTACTCTTTAGGGGACTATCTGGGATGCCTCTCTTTTGAGGCAGTAACTGGGCTATATGGACTTCCAGCCCACATCACATCCAGACAATGGAGAGAAATCTCATTTTGACTAAAAGGCTGGACAGAGGGACTGAAGTGAAAGGCCAAAACTACCTTTACATAAGAAAGTTCTGGGTCACTTTTGTCCTTGTACAAAACCAGAAAATGATCATTGTAGGATATGGCTACTTGCTCAGACACTCACTTTGCAGAGGAGAAAACAAGAAACACAACCTTGTGGGTGAGAGTAGAGAGGGAAATATCTCTAAATGGGTGATCTTTGAAGTGCAAAGAGAACCAGATTCAGATCCTACAGTCACATGGAAGCTACATGGGAGACTCCCTGAACTCTAATCAAAAAATAAGAGGCCAATGGTCAGTGGCCATGAAGCAGAATGGTAGCTTAGTCCTGGAGACCAACAACGCGGTCTTATCTTGATTTCCCCAGAGCATACACCAGTGGTATTAACAGAATCTGAGTACCACATCCACTTGGGCCAATCTAGAGAAGTGAGGATCACTGGAATGCACTCCCTCTTGATCCTACAAAGTAGTCAAGGAAGACGTTTTAAGAGACGAGAGACAAAGATCAGGATATATTGATTCCACAGAGTATCCACTGCTTCCAATAGAGTAGGGGTCTCCAAACTATGGCCCTCCAGGTGTTGAGGAAGTCCCATGAGGCCTTACAAGACTCTGACAGCCACAGGCAAGACTCGCAGAGACATGATGGCACTTGTAGTACTTCAACAGCTGGAGGGCCATAGTTTGGAGACCCCTGCACTAGAGGGTCTCTTGTCCCTGGAGACAAATCTGTCCAGTTTGTTGAATTTGGAAGTCAGGAGTTCCACATCTGGCACCCTCCACTTTTGTGACACAGGCCCTGGAACATTTCTATGTGTAGGGGCCACTCCTATAGGTCCAAATCTTGTCATCTGATTGTCTACACCTAGAATGTAAACTGCAGACAAGGCTGGAATGTAAAGTTCTGCCCAAAACAAAATCCGCTATACCTCTCTTGGTGTGGTGAGTCTCCTGGTACCTCCCTAAATGGAGTTACCCCTCCCCTTCTTCAGGTAAAACCGGCTGGCATCCATAATTTTTCAAAAGATGGGGAGGAAAGACTTTCCCAATTCCAGAGCTATTAGTCAGGGACAATCTAGTCCTTGGTACCATACAAACGGACCTGTCCCAAAATGACAGAATGTTGCATTGAAATGGTCTGAAGTGAAAATAAACAAATGGACTGCCCTGAAGCTACCATCAGACCTAGTACTCTTGTGCAAAATGGAACAAGAGTTAGACAACTGATGGACAGAAAGGCACAAGCCTGCGAAAAAAGAGTGTTTGAAATATATTCTGGGGAAGTAAAACTCTGGCCCGAGTAGTGTCTAGGCTTAGTATTATTGCTTAAAGTATCTGGTCTGGGTCTAATTCAGATTTCTGAAGTTTCAGGATCCATATGAACCATCACCATGACCAGACAGTCAAGGTTACGCTGTCTGACAGAGCCAACGGGAAGCAATCTAGGTATACCATGGGGATACCTATGTGGATTATTGTGGACTCCCCAGCTTTCCCATCTCCCCTTTTTTCTTTTTTTGTTATACCATGGGGATCCCCTGAGAGCACAGCAGGGTTAGAACTGGGGCCAGCCCTTTGATGATCATTCGAAGTGCAGAAGTGGGCCTAAATTATAGGTTTACAAACAACAACAAAAAGTACAGGGGACCCACAATAAAAAGTAGGAAATGCCAGTGTGGTGGCAATAAGGGGACATGTAGGTACACATCAATGTCCACAGAAGTCAGATAGTATCCCTGTTGAAGGGAAGGCAATGATAAACATTATGAATTCCTTATGGAATTTCTGAGCTCAAATAAAGATATCCAAGACGGGGCAGATGCCCCCTTTTGGCTTTGTGAACAGGTTGGAGTAACTATGCTGGAATCTGGAGCAATGTCACCTTGCTCCAGGAAGCCGCAAGGGGGCTCTCCCTTGTCTCTGATGACTCGGAGAGAGTCACCAGAGCCAGGGCAAACAATGAGAGATTACCAACAACTCTGGATCTAGGAAGCACTCTGTGGCTGTTAACAGAACAGGGTTTAGAAAATACCTCATGCGGCAGATGCTCACTTTTAAGTGAAACCCACAACATCCAGTAGGGTCTAGGCACAGCATAATACCTGAGCTGAGGGAATGGTCACTCCAGATAGCTCTAGTGGTACATACCAACCATAGCAGCAACGTAGATGTCATGATTGAAGGAAAAAACACTAAGCAAGGAATAAGTAATCCTTTAACAACAGAACTTAAAAAAAAAAAAGTCTATCCTCCTGGATAGGGAGTCATACTAGGCTGGCCTAGAGTTTTTTGTTTGCCATTGTCCAATCCTCCTGTAGGCAGCAGTATAACCTGAAGCTTAAGACTTTCCTTCTGAGGGAAATTTACTGTGCTTGTTGGCACGTTTCAGGACCTACAGTATGAACCTGTACACAAGAGAGTGTTCAGATGTAAAGGTACAATCTAACTGCCCTGAAAAATGGAGTATGAACCTGAATGGATCCTATTAGGAGGCAAAGAGGATCTGGTGCCAGTAAGAGCAGGAAAAATAGCAATTTGTGCATGTTTTCTGGCCTGCATTATTTTCTGACTTATTTTACTTGTCAACATATTGGTCTGGGTAATAATCAGGACCTTTTGCCTGTCCCTAAGATTGTGGTCAGAGGTAAAAGGTATGATTGGACTGCCCTCAGGAAGAAAGTACTGTAGAAAAGGGTACAAATCTGGAAGCTTAGGCTGATCCTGCAGTGTCTGTTTATAAAGCAGAAGCTAGAACTGACTTATCCAAGAAAAAACAGGGGCTATTAGAACAGGCATTCTAACTTCCCTAGACTATTGTGTGTTCTTTTGTGAAGTCCCTTGGAAATATGGTTGTAGCCTGATCCAGCTGACTGACATTTCTTGTATATGGGTAACTTAAGCCTCAATTCCTGTATGTTGGATATCCCTTCATAGAAGTCAATGGGCCTAACAACTTTATTACTATTGTTCCTTCAGCAGTTGATCATCACTCTTTTCACCATCATGTATCTAACAGCAGGGCTCTGGGCCAGTCAAGCAGATCTTGTTACTGAGAAGTGGATAATCTATATACATAGTCATGGTAACATTTTAACAATTTCTCTTACCAGATTTGTCACCCTTTATCCAGGAGATGTATTTCTAACTGGGACCCCCCCTGGAGTGGGTGTATTCAGAAAGCCTCCAATATTCCTAAAGGTGAGTAAACTATATGGAAACTAGAGTATAGAAAATATGAATAACAATCTAAAAGCAGTCTCCAGAAGGTGCCTGGTAACACCTTTACTTACCTGAATCCCCTCAGTGGCAAGATTATATATCTGTAGTTGCTGAAACGACCCCGAGTAGAGTAGTAGAGTTCATATACAATGCTCAAAAAAAATTAAAGGAACACTTTGAAAACACGAGATCTCAATGGGGAAAAATATCATGCTGGATATCTGTACTGATATGGACTGGGTATTGTGTTAGAAATGTAAGGATGCCCCATCGTTTCATTTTCGGGGTGTCTTTGAATTCAGTCCTCTGTAGGTTGATAATTTTCATTTCCATCAAAGAGAAAAAATGATGCACCAGGCTAGTCCATTTTGCTAAAATTTCATTGCAGTAACTCAAAATGGTACTCAGTAGTTTGTATGGCCCCCACGTGCTTGTATGTATGCCTGACAACATCGGGGCATGCTCCTAATGAGATGACGGATGGTGTCCTGGGGTATTTCCTCCCAGATCAGGACCAGGGCATCACTGAGCTCCTGGACAGTCTGAGGTGCAACCTGGCAGTGTCAGATGGACCGAAACCTGATATCCCAGAGGTGTTCTATTGGATTTAGGTCAGGTGAGCGTGGGGGCCATTCAATGGTAGCAATTCCTTTATCCTCCAGGAACTGCCTGCATACTCTCACCACATGAGGCCAGGCATTATTGTGCACCAGGAGGAACCCAGGGCCCACTGCATCAGCGTAGGGTCTGACAATGGGTCCAAGAATTTCATCCGGATACCTAATGGTAGTCAGGGTGCCATTGTCTAGCTTGTAGAGATCTGTGTGTCCCTCCATAGCTATACTTCCCCAGACCATCACTGCCCCACCACCAAAATGGTCATGCTGAACGAAGTTACAGGCAGCATTACCTTCTCCAGACCCTTTCACGTCTGTCACGTGCTCAGGGTGAACCTGTTCTCATCTGTGAAAAGCACAGGGTGCCAGGGGTGGACCTGCCAATTCTGGTGTTCAATGGCAAATGCCAATCAAGCTCTATGGTACCAGGCAGTGAGCACAGGTCCCACTAGAGGACATCAGGCCCTCAGGCCATCCTCACAAAATCTGTTTCTGATTGTTCGAGACAATCACGCCAGTGGCCTGCTGGAGGTCATTTTGTAGGGCTCTGGCAGTGCTCATCCTGTTCCTCCTTGCCCAAAGGAGCAGATGCCAGTCCTACTGATGGGTCAAGGACCTTCTATGGCCCTGTACAGCTCTCCTAGAGTAGCTGCCTGTCTCCTGGAATCTCCTCCATACTCTTGAGACTGTGCTGGGAGACACATTCTGGCAATGGCATGTATTGATGTGCCATCCTGGAGGAGTTGGACTGCCTGTGCAACCTCTGTAGGGTCCAGGTATCACCTCACGCTACCAGCAGTGACACTGACCCTAGCCAAATGCAAAACTAGTGAAAATAATCAGAAAAGATGATTAGGGAAAAAAATGCCAGTGGCCCCCAGCTGTAAAACCATTCCTGTTTTGGGCTTCGTCTCATTGTTGCCCATCTAGTGCACCTGTTAATTTCATAAACACCAAAGCAGTTGAAACCGATTAACAACCCCTCTGTTACTTAACTGACCAGATCAATATCCCAGGAGTTTGACTTGATGCTATACTCTGATTACAAAGTGTTCCTTTTATTTTTGAACAATGTACATTCATTCTGTGCAAATGGGTGAAAATGTTATTAGATTATTTCCCATGCTGGTCAATTGTTTTTTAGTTTACTTATACCAGACAATACTGCATTTGGCCACTAGAGGTCACTAAATATCATAGGTAATTCATATGATACTTAGCATCATCTTGTAGCCAAATGCCCATGTTCAGGCCCATACTCCTTTTGATGGGTGAATTGCTATGCAATTTTTTTTCTAAACACACCCCTAAAGTATATCTAAAGCTTTAGTGATTATTGTCGGAGACAGGAAGTGATGCAAAATCAAAATTCCTGTTGTCACCGCAACAGGAATAGAGGGGAAATATTCTAATTAGAACACCTGTTCTAGTGTCAACAGTCCAAGATGGGATTTTCTTCTAACACTGGAGAGATTCCCTTTCAGTTCCTATTGTGTCTTCAGGACAGGAAGTAAGGCAAGTCTTCCTGATGGGAAAAAGACATACTGTACCATAACTATGAAATACCATAACTTTAACATTATTAAAATGATCTTTCCATTTGCAGCCATCTGTTACTATTGCCAAAAATGTATGTGTGATTGCTTCATTGTAACCACATCATGGGTTGATGTTCTATGCATTGTTGGTACTTGCTCACTGCTTCTTCCAGCATTTCTCTGTTCATAAGATTATGGCAGGCAGGCGCTTACAATTATGCATTACAATAACTTCCTGCTTTCTAAATCCTGAGTCCTTTTTAACGGAATAGCAGCAATTTTTGCAATGTAGATATAGCAGTTACATTCGTTTGATAAGCAGTTTAATATGAAAATCACTCACAGACTGTCAAATGTACAGGATGAAAATTCTGGTGGTTTGGTGACCACTCCTGTTGTGCAGAGATCCAATTCTTTTCTTCTGCATGCAGAGATTGAGAATAAATGGGCAGTTTTAGGGCCCATTCACACTAGAAACTGCATGTGAATCTCACAGGAAAGTACTGTGTTCATTCTGAATGGGCTGAATTCACACCGCACCATTGGAAACTCAATGCAGCCAGATCGTATGATACTTTGTATTATGCGATCTGGTGCGGGCAAACCAGCATGGAAGGTGGGTTTCCCACACAGCATTCTAGTGTGAACAGGCCCTTAGTCATGTCATACATTTCTCTGTATATCTCCGGGTAGGCCCCTTTCACACAGGCGGACCATACATTGTTCTCTATGGGAGGTAGATGTAAACTGACATGTCTGTTTACATCCACCTGCATCCAATCCGATAAAAGCAGATGGGGGAACCGTTCCCCATCTGTCTAGTGGATGACAGTTGGATGTAAACGGACAGGCAGTTCACTTACATCTGACCGCCCCATAGAGAACAGCGGACTTTGTCTGCATCTGCCTGCTTAGCGTGAATCAGCAGACAGATCCGCATGGCAGAGTCCGCAAGTGTGGAAGAACTCATAAACTGCACTTTCACTCAGAACGGATATAGGTACTGCAGTAGATGCCAACATATTCAAGTGGGTTTTTTTTTCTTTCCAAACTACTAGGGACCCTTTATTTTTGTATTATTGTCTCTTTTGTTTTCCAGGCAGGAGAGATGTGGTGGAGTGTGAAATTGATGAGCTGGGAGTGATCAAAAACCCTGTGATGTGAAGACTGGTACATTACAGCAGAGGGACACCCAATATAGTGTGGCAGACTCAGGTTTATTAATGAACGTTTCATATTTTGTATGCAGAGCAGGAGTCTCCCTACTATGACAAGTGTCTGCAAGGTCACAAACTAAAATTAACTTCTACATTTCACCCATCAGTAGGTTCAAATTAAACTATCCAGCAAACTGTGCATACATTTAAATAAGACAAAAATAAACTGAAATGTGTGTTTTTCAAGTTTGTAAATAAAGCAAATAATGAGTATTTTAAGGTGCAATTGTCTGTTGGGAGAGTGCTTCTCTCAGGTAACAAATTATATTCTCATATTTCTTCATCTGGAAAGTGTTAATACAGGTCATCTTTTGTATATAAACTGCTGGATAAATGATACTAATCTGCCGCAGTTTTCCTTCAAAATAAAGGTCTCGGAGAGTTGAAGTATTGATCCTTGACAGCTTGGGGAACAGTGAAAGACCTGTAGAGTCACAATTAAAGAATTGAGCACACACTGCTTTTAACCAGTCATTAGAATCAAGAATTATGGGTACTGTGCAATTTTATCATTTACCATATAGTTAACCTGAGGCCCTATTCCTTTTACACATGGCAACAGAATAGCACACAGCAAGTTTAAAAACTAAACACAACATTCACACAATTTGGAGCCTTAGGGCTCATTCACATGGCGGTAGCCCATGTGGCCATCTGTGGTGGATCACTTTTCAGAGGTGTTTGACAAGTGACAAGGAGGAGACAAGTCACTTTCGCACGGCCCAATCTAATTCTCAAATGCTGCACCACCCTGATGTAATTGTGTTCAGTGGCAGTAACACCCTCTGAACGTGACATGATGTTTTTGTTTTTTTGCTGCTGCATGACAGTGTTCCAGTGGGTGCTAAAACCACCTCTCCCCCGGCCACGTGTGAACGAAGCCTTAGCAGTGGTAGCAAGTTGCACATAAACATACCTAGAAATGTTTTCTTAATATCACTGAAGGGAAAAAAAAAACATTTAAACTTCCATATCTGTGCTCTGTGTTATGTAGAAATAAGAAATCCACATCCGAGTACTGAATTCAACATGCAGATGTAAACTGTAATTTATTCATGTGCAGCTCTTTTAGTCTCCATGTATATACATCTACTAACAGACTGGCAAACCACATATGGACCTTCAAGTCACTTAGGGCTCATTCATATTATGTGTCATGTTGCACCATGTTCTCATAATGTTGAATGGGCCTTGGCTGCCAGCGCTGATTTTCTAACAATCAGCTTCTGTTGAACAGACAGTGGTACACGTACCACAAATCGTCTGGTTCCTGCTGAGCCAGCCAAATTTCAGTATGTGCATACCAGGCTTTAGTTGGGCCAAGTGTCAGTAGCTTATCCCACTGCCCTGGTAAGGGGAAGGCTAACCTTTAGTAAGAGGAAGGGTTTTAACCACTTGCCTAGTGGGCACTTATACCCCCTTCTTGCCCAGGCCAATTTTCAGCTTTCAGTTCGGTCACACTTTGCATGACAATTGCACAGTCATGCAAAATTGCACCCATATGAAATTTTTATCATTTTTTCACACAAATAGAGCTTTCTTTTGATGGTATTTACTCACCGCTGGGTGTTTTATTTTTTGCGTTCTAAACAAAAAACTGCAAAATTTTATGATAGCAAAAAATTTGAAAAAAAAAAGTTGTTTCTAACAGGTAATTTTTCTGCTTCACTGATGTGTATTGATTAGGCAGCACGGATAGGCACGGATACTGATATGCATCAATGATGGGTACTGACTGGCGGTACAGGTGGGTGGCACTGCTGGGCACTGATCATCAGTGCCAATCTGTCCTCTGACAATTGCCAGTTATCGGCAGTACTTTCTTCACGCTGTGACAGCGTGAGGAAAGTGCAGCTGATAACTGTCAACTGCATTTACCTGGTGATCTGCTGTGTCATTGGACACAGTGAACATGGGAGATCGCTGGGGGCACACGGGAGGACTCATTCTGGGAAGACGTCAGAAGTGGACAACCACGCTGTAGCCGTCATTCGGCTATAGCGTGGTTGGCAAGTGGTCAAATCGGTCCGGTGGGCTTAGAGAGATATGGTTTGCTACAACTGGAAGGACCAGCAGTAGCTGATTGTGCCAGAAGGGGGCAAATGGATGAAGTCTGTACAGTAGGGGGGTACACATTCCAGAGAAAATTTTGAAACTGTATAATGTGCCTAAACCCTCGCTCATCAAAAGACTTGCGAAAGAGTCACTTGCCCTTGAAAGGCATGCATAAAAGGCATCTTTCCTGCACCAAATCATGTGCTCAGTCTTTAAGCCATAGGATTCTGTACATATTATGCACAAAAGTTAGATATTCTGGAGATCTGGCAGAGCAGCTTCTCCATAGCAGCTACACTAAATATTATGGCTGAAGGTAAATGTAGCTCTAAAGATTTGGATTATGCACCTCAGAAAAAATGTCATCACCAATTTCTCCAGCCCAAGTAACCACTAAGGTGACAATGCCCAGCTGTAAGACAGGGCCTGCTAATGCAAAGGAGGTTTTTAGATGTCAAAACCCTATAATCTAAGCTAATGGATAACTGGGCAGCTAGTAAAGGAACCAATATACACTATATTGCCAAAAGTATTGGTACACCCCTCCAAATCATTGGATTCAGGTGTTCACATCACCTAGGCATGCAGATTGCTTCTACAAACATTTGTGAAAGAATGGGTCACTCTCAGCTCAGTGAACTCAAGCGTGGTTCTGTGGATGCCACTTGTGCAATAAGTCATCCGTGACATTTCCTTGCTACTAAATATTCCATGGTTAACTGTTAGTGTTATTATAACAAAGTGGAAGCAACTGGGAACAACAGCAACTTGGCCACATAAAATGACAGATCGGGGTAGCGCATGCTGAAGTGCGTAGTGTGCAGAAGTAGTCAACTGTATGCAGAGTCCATAGCTAAAGACCTCCAAACTTGATTTGGCCTACAGATTAGCGCAACAACAGTGCATAGAGAGGTTCATTTAATGGAGTTTCCATGGCTGAGCAGCTGCATCCAAGCCTTATATCACCAACTGCAATGTGAAGCGTAAGATGCAGTGGCGTAAGGCACGCCGCCACTGGATTCTAGAGCAGTGGAGATGTGTTCTCTGGAGTGACAAATCACGCTTCTCTGTCTGGCTAACTGATGGATGTGTCTGGGTTTGGTGGTTGCCAGGAGAACGGTACTTGCCTGACTGCATTGTGCCAAGTGTAAAGTTTGGTGGAGGGGGGATTATGGTGTGGGGTTGTTTTTCAGGGGTTGGGCTTCGCCTCCTTAGTTCCAGTGAAGGGAACTCTTAAGGCGTCAGCATATCAAATCATTTTGGATAATTTCATGCTCCCAACTTTGTGGGAGCAGTTTGGGGATGGCCCCTTCCTGTTCCAACATGACTGTGCACCGCTACTACACAAAGCACAGTCCATACAGACATGAATGAGCGAGTTTGGGATGGAGGAACTTGACTGACCTGCAGAGTCCAGACCTCAACCCAATTAGAACACTTTTGGGATAAATGTAATGTACACTACAGAGCCATAAAGACATGTAAGCCAGAGACCAGAATGTAAAAATAGGTAGAGTGAATCCCTGACTCACCAAGTCCACATCGCTTATCCCAGTCAGGAACCAGTGGTAGCATGCTTTACACCAGTGCATCCGGCACTTTGCAATGCACTTGGTGATGTAAGGCTTGAATGCAGCCGCTCAGCCATGGAAACACATTCCATGAAGCTCTCTATGCACTGTTGTGCTCATTTGAAGGCCACATGACGTTTGGAGGCCTTTAGCTATTGACTCTGCAGACAGTTGGCAACGTCTGCGCACTGTGCGCTTCAGCATGCGCTGACCCCTCACTGTCATTTTTTGTGGCCTACCACTTCATGGCTGAGTTGCTGTTCTCAGTTTATTTCAACTTTGTTATAATACCCCTAATGGTTGTCCATGGAATATTTAGTAGCAAGGAAATTTCAGGGATGGACTTATTGCACAGGTGGCAACCTATCACGGTACCACACTTGAATTCACTGAGCTCCTGAGAGCAATCCATTATTTCACAAATATTTGTAGAAGCTGTCTGCATACCTAGGTGCTTTAAGGTTTACACCTGTGGCCATGGAGGTGATTTGAACACCTGAATTCAATGATTTAAAGTGGTGTTCACAACACTATTGGCATTACAGTGTACATTACAGGCTAGCCCTTCAGCAGCAGGATCCAGGTGCAGTTACCAAGGTGTGTTTGAGAGTCACTGATCCAGAAATCACTAATGAGCCATGAAGGCAGTAAGCAGTCAAATATTGATAAAAGTGCCATCCAACAGAGGTAATTACATCTGGTGAAAAAAATAGGAAATTCAACAAGAGGGGATGGCATGCATAATTTAAAGACGCTAGCAAAGAAAAAGAAAAACCTGAAGCCTCATGGGAATGTTTATATGGGAGACACTACACAGCAAATGTCCAATCACTTTAAAATAGCGGCATATAACCCATGGTCTAGAAGTTAATTCCTGTGACTTGTACTGTACAATAAAAACAAAGTTTGCATTTTTCAAGTCAATTTCTTGAAAAATGCAGTTTGCGAAAAACGAAAATTGCTCCGGTAGCGAAGTGGTTAAACAAAACATCTGCATAGGTGACCTTATACTTTTGTCACACATTTTTCTCACTTTTCTTTTATAAATGGCTCCCAATTATGTCCACAACTGCCCCTTAAACAAATGTTACTGCAAACAGTGGAGGTAATATAATTTGTGACCATATACCCCAAGATCTTTGAAGGTTTCAACAGCACAGGCAGCCAGGGAGCGTTCTGTACATTCTGAAAGAGAAAACTGAATGAGTACTTCATATGACAACTGCCTATATTTTGCACACACACACAGAATGTCAAAATGAACTCAGTTTTGGAGCAGTGGCATAGGAAGTAAGAAGCTGAATCATATTTTGGGAAGAGAAGTGCCTTTACCAGAAATACAGCGTTAAAGTTTACCCTAAAGCGAACACTTTTTTTTTAAATTTAATCACTTGCCCTCCAGAGGATTTACCCACCTTCCTAACCAGGCCCTTTTTTGCGATACAGCGCTGTGTTACTTGAACGGACAATTGCACAGTCATGCAACACTGCACCCAAATTAAATTTGTCATTTTCCCCCCACAAATATAGCTTTCTTTCGGTGGTACTTGATCACCTCTGCGGTTTTATTTTCTGTGCTATAAACCAAAAAATAAAAAAATTATATTTTTGGCTTCTCGCTATAAATTATATCCAATAAAAAACATTTAAAAAAATCTAATTTCTTTATAAATTTAGGCCAAAATGTATTCTGCTTTATGTCTTTGCTTAAAAAAAAAAAATCCCAATAAGTGTATATTAATTGACTTATGTGAAAGTTATAGCGTCTACAAATGGTGGTATATATACTGGAATTTTAAATTTTTATTATACTAGTAATGGTGGCGATCAGCAATTTATAGCAGGACTGCGGTGGGCATTCTGACACGGTGGGGACTAACTACCACTGACATCCCCAGTGACACAAATACAGAGATCAATGCTAATGAAAAGCACTGACACTGTACTAATGACACTGGCGAGGAAGAGGTTAACATTTAGGGCAAAGGTTTAACAGTGTGCTATGTGTTTTGCTTTGTGTGCCGTTTTACTTTGGAGACATACTGCTTTGTATCTCGCTGCTGTGCAGAGAGATACAAAGCAGCATGTCCATGCTGACAGGAGAGAGATCTGTGTTATTTACACACAAATCTCTCCCTTTTCAGCCCTGCAAAAGATTTGAGACTGGGGCAGAGGTTCACCTTCCAGCAGGAAATTGACCCTAAACATACAGCCAAAGTTACAATGGAATGGTTTAGATCAAAGCATATTCATGTGTCAACCTGGCCCAGTCAAAGGCCAGACCTAAATCCAATTGAGAATCTGTGGTAAGATTTGAAAATTGCTGTTCACAGACGCTCTCCATCCAATCTGACAGAGCTTGAGCTATTTTTCTAAAGAAGAATGGACAAAAATGTCACTCTCTAGATGTGCAAAGCTGAAAGGGACATACCCCAAAAAGACTTGCAGCTGTAATTGCAGCAAAAGGTGGTTCTACAAAGTATTGACTCCGGAGGGATGAATACAAATGCACACCTACACTTTTCAAATACTTATTTGTAAATAATTTTGCAAACCATTTATCATTTTTCCTCCACTGCACAATTATGTGCCACTTTGTGCTGGTCTATCACATAAATCCCAATAAAATACATTTATGTTTTTGGTTGCAACATGACAAAATGTGGAACATTTCAAGGAGTATGAAAACTTTCAAGGCACTGTAGATAGCCTGTACCCTATAATCCTTGAGCTCTGAGAAGGGCAAGCAAGGATGACAAGACCTGTGTGAACACCTTTTAAGCAGAAGATAGAACGAAGGCAGTGCAACAGACTGAAAGTGGTTTTCTACTACTACAAAACAGTAATCACTGATGAGGTGGATAAATGGGTACATGCAGATAGGCATCTTGAATGTTCACAGATTCCATTGTCTCAGACAGGCAATTACTGACCTTGCAGAATTCATGCAAAATTTTGATATTTGAAGTAATTTGTTTTTCCCTTGGCGCCGATGTCACACAAATATTAGCCTCACAGAACTGGGCTTTTTTCCGTGGGGCCGCATATTTGCGTACCTTTGGGCTGGAGGCGCGCTCCCAGCACAATGACCATGGTGTCACTGAGACCCCCGGGTCCTGTTCTAACGATAGGGACCTTGAACGCCTGATTCTGGGTCGCATGATTGCTGCAATAGCCTCTGATTGGCTATCATAGTGATCAGTCACTGCGAAGCCCGCCCTTTGTTTTTTTTTTCCTCTCTACAAGGAGAGAGAGATAAAATGTATCTCCTCCATTCAGAGAGGAAAAAAAAACAACTGTGTGTGAATGAAAGAAAAAAAAAAATTATATATATATAAAATACAGAGATAAAGGTTTGATCTAGTTCAGTGCTAGGGTCAGTGTCAAGAGGTCAGGATTTTTTTTTCTTTTTTTTTTAATATTGGTATCAGTGTCTGTGTATTTTAGGTAGGACAAAAAAAAAAGCAAAATGCACACTATTGTTTCTGGGCTGTACTACAGGTACAAACAAAAAATAACACACATATGTGGTATCGCTGCGACTGCCAAGGGCTGGAGAATTTATTTTGGGTTGTTCTTTGGTGGAAGTTTATGTAGGTAACAAGAAACACACAAGTAAACGTAAAAAAAAAAGATTTTTTACTATTTTTGGTCGGTTTTTCTTGGGTAATAAGAAAAAAATTATGAGATATCCATTACCTTTTACTTCCAAATGAAAGCCCAATTTGTCCTAAAAAAACAAGGTATAATTCACCTGGATGTACAAAGTAGTTCATCGTGATGGTATGTACAGTTTTACTAACACAGGTCAAAGTTGTAAATTTTCCTTAGGCAGGAAGATTTGTTTTACCCTTAGACGTGAAGGGGTTAAGGAATTTTATTCCAAGACAGGACAAATACCACCAATGGGCTTTGGTTCCATGAACAGGTTTGAGTAGAACCTGTCCTCTGGTGGTACTGGTACATTGACTCTCTGGGACAAGAAGGTGGTTCAGAGATTTCTGCAAATTACTGTACTTGAGCAGTTTTTTGTTTGACGTGAAAGAAGAAAGCGGTGAGGTGGTAGAGTTTCGAAATCTATGTTGTACCCTTTTGATCATCCTCAGAATAACCTACTTTTCTTTGCAAACTTTCAGCTAGATCACATATCACTAATATTTCCTCCCCCACATGCCCCTTCCCCTGAATTCTCTGTTAAGACTGATGGCACAACTATCAACCTGCCCCCTCGTGACAGGGTGCTAGGTGTAATCTTGGATTCTGAAATCTCCTTTCAGCCCACATCTAATCACGGTCCAATTGATGCTGCCTCAACCTCTGCAACATCTCCAAAATATTCCTCTTCCTAACCAATGACAAGACAAAGCTTCCAACTCACTCCCTGGTTCTCTCTCATCTCAAATACTGCAACTCCCTCCTTATTTGATTACCTTTACATAGGCTATACCCCTCTCCAATCCATCATGAATGCTGCTGCCAAACTCATCCACCTTACCAACCGTTCAGTGTCTGGTACCGCTCTCTGCCAATCCATCCACTGGCTTCTACTCACCCCACAAATTAAATTCAAAATGCTAACAACTTACTAAGCCATCCACAACTCAGCTCCCAGCTACATCACTAACCTAGTCTCAAAACACCAACCAATCATTCTCTTCGTTCCTCATAAGACCTGCTCTCTAGCTCCCTTGCGACATATATACCCAACAAGCACCAGCAATGTACTAGTATGCTGCTGGACTTTTGAGTTATAATGAGATGATGCCTGCATCATCCTGGTATTTTTTTTTTTCAGCTTTCATGTAAAAGCAATCCAAGTGGCTAATTAGCTGCTGGATCGTTTTTACAAGCAGTGGGAAAGGACCCGCCCGCCGAGTGTAAACATAAAGAAGAAAAAAAATAATCACCCCCCCCCTGCCCCTCCCATGCTCACACGCAAAAGGCAAACGCAAACTTTGTTTAACAAAAAAAAAAAAAAGTTGTCGCTTACATTCTATATTATATAGGGCAGCACAGTGGCTAAATGGTTAGCACTTCTGCCTGGCAGTACTAGGGTCGTTGGTTCAAATCCCAGCCACGGCACCACCTGCCTGGAGTTTGCATGTTCTCCATGTGCCTGCATTGGTGTCCTCCGAGTACTCCGGTTTCCTCCACACTCCAAAGACATGCTGGTAGGTTAATTGGCTCCTGTCTAAATTGCCCTAGTATGTGTAAGTATGAATGTGAGTTAGGGACCTTAGATTGTACACCCCTTGAGGCTTAGGGACTGATGTGAATGTATAATATATATGTGTAAAGCGCTGCGTAAATGGACGGCACTATATAAGTACCTGAAATAAATAATAATAAATATTCTATATGGCTCATGCATGCCATGGGTACATGTGGAATAACACCCCAAAACACATTCTGGTACTTCTGAGTATGGGTATACCACATGCGAGA